TCACCTTCCTCCTTCTTCCATCTTTCTGCTTTAATTTTCATTTTTTTATTCACAAACTACAACAAAACTTAAGGCGCGCCTTTCTACAAATCCATCATCTTCACATGTGCAACGGACAGGCGCCATGGATAGGCCAAGAGGCTAGAATAATGAGCACTCAGATTCACCACGGTTCCATCCCTAGAGGATAGGAGATCACGTCTTAATTTCGACTTTTAAGCTACTAAACATGTATGTGTATGAAAATCACTGCCGAATGCTCTACACTCAGGCTTTGACCTTATAGACAGTTTTATTTTTGTTCATCAGGACACTCTGCATAACTATTATTTCCAAATACATCTAAAGATACTAAACACTTTACATTGTCTATTTTTTTAATGATAGAATCAAAATACTATACGTAAACTTTAATCTATAAAATATATCAGAACCAATTTATCTAGTGATAAAGTTTGACTAATCAGTCGATTAATTGTACAGAATGTGCATTTAATTTATTACAGTAATCGTATTAAATATATTCTGCACACCTGTAGTAGCTTAGATTACAAAATAGACAGATAAATCGTTATGAAATATTAAATTTTAATATTTTTTTTTGTAATCTTGACCAATCAGTAGATTAATTGTACAACATGTACATTTGATTTACGACAGTAAACGTATTCATATATTTTGCACACCTTTATTAGCTTAGATCACAAGATAGACAGATAAATCGTTATCAACTATTACAAATAGTAAAATTATCGTAACAAGAGTTAAGTATAATATGTGTTCAACTACAAAGCTTTACTAGGTATGTCTTAAAATTCCTTTTCTGTCCAGGAGTCTGTCTGGAATCTGGATAGGTACCACCAATTTGCCTATTTCTGACTCCAAGCAGAAGTGTAGTGTGTTCCTATTTGAAGGGTATAAGAATACCAGTATGGTAGCAGTTACACCACGAAAGCTTTTTTTTCAAGCAAGTCCATGACGTTATATGTACATTACTATAGAATATGACACTTGCCAAGTTCAAACCTTGACTGGTTTATCGGCAAAACTGACAACCCGACAAAACAACTTTTATTGATCTAAATAATTATTCATATATTATGAATTACTACGGTGAGATGGATATATTGACAAAGTCATTGGCGGGTAGTTTCAAGCACAGTACTTGAAACTAACCGCAAAAGTAACTTTGTCAATACCTGTCAACACCAAATATCGATAAATTATTTTTTTTTTTTACTTTTTGCTTTGTATACGACTAATGACCTACCTTGATATGCTCAATATACTATAGTTTCCAAGTAACCCAGAAGTGACCGTGACAGATAGTGCTCACTAGCTCAAGATATAGGTTTATTTATGAAAAGAATTCTCAGTATGTATGAGGTCCGTAATTCCACCGCATAGTGCGGTGTAAGAATATCCAATACACCATATCAACCCGTGGGTGTCATAAGAGGTGACAAACGGAAACAAACCAGGAGATGTGCAGTAGCGCCTTCAATGTCAACTAAAATAAAAATTAAACTGCGGTTGGCAACCGGCCTGAAGAGCGTGACAACTATGACATATATGAGGCAATCTATGAGGAGCCAAATTTCAGTAGTGGACTTTTAATAGGTTGTAACGGTAAGAGGTCCTTAATAGGTATTGAAAATTACACATGTGTAGGTCTAATAGTTTTTGTTAAGTGGCTCGAAATGGTTTGTGTAAATATATACACTGCCGGCACGTCGACCTTTTCTTTTTCGTGTTTGGTTGCCTCACTGCCGTGTTTCTATAATGGGGGAGGTCATGTATTACTAGCAGTGTTCATTTATGGACTAAAAAAGAATAAGAAAACGAAAAAAAAACACTTTAGTATCACATCAATCCCAACACATATGTGTGTAATAATACGATCGAAGACCCACCCACACCTTACCACCCGTAACTTGATTGTCTGAACAGCGTATAGTTCTCTCACGAGAAAGCAATTACACACATTTCACATCACAAAATATCATACTCGTATTAATACAATAAAAAATGGTAATTTGGTGCGTAAAACTTGACCTTATCCATAATTAATTTGATTAATAATTTTATCAATCATTATTGTAATTAAAAATCTTTTTATTATCCTATCCAAATTGTGCCCATAGAGATTATTAATTTAAGAAACAGAATATAATATAATTAACGATCATTCTAAAAGGAGAATGTCAATGTCGATTCGCTCAATATTAATTTATTTTTAAGATTGGCCTTTATTTCAGCTTAACTAAGGGACTAAAAATTGCGTTGTGTACTGAATATCTTATAAGCTCAATTTTTATTAAATTTTTAAGCGTTTTAAATTCACAAAAATATTTGTTAAACAAGACAGAAATGGTGTGTTGCCAGCTAAATTTAGTACATAAAATATTAAAAAAAAGTTGCACCGTGAATTTCACAATTGAATGTCTGTTTAAATTATGAACCACTACACAAGCCTTATTTTTATATGTATTATTAATTAATATTACTAACGGTTTATTCAACATAGGTACATAAAATGAGTATATTAAAATTATTTTAATTGCATTATTTTTCCCTACTTTACCGTTACCACTATAGCCTTATTAAAGTATACATATGAACATAGCCCTCCCCAAAGATTGCCTCGTAGCTATACTTGCCATATTTTTTCTTTATTAAGAAGACGCTGTTGCTCATTTTCTTGTTTGTTTCCCTCTGTCACCTCTTACGAGACGCACGGAATGATATGAGATATTATCACAACGTCACTACACGGCACACGCACACTACGACAGTTGCCCACTACATTAATATATATTAATATGTAACGTATTTTAAGACTATTATTGTATGTTGTATACAATAACCAAACATTTGTTTTTAATTTCTTATGCAGCGTTCAAAGAGATTATATTTATGAGCTTGTAGCAGACATTAAAAACCAATAATTTTGTTTTCTGTCGAAGCATGTTTTGTAATATGAAATGTTTTATACATATAAATTTTAAAATATCTCCACTTACATACAATTGTACTTTAGTAATATGTCACCTGTTAAAAAATATTTGACTGTCCAGACGATTTAAGGGTTTGCATTCATACTTGTTAAATAAAATACTAAAAATAGGTAATAAATTATATTTACAATATAAAAAACATTGTAATATATATTCAGTATGAGGACGATATGTCTACATCGGTATGTTCTACTTTCTCCTTTTTTCCAAGTGAAAACTCACAATACAACCTTGAAGTGTGTAAAAAGGTCATTGTCCTGCTGACAAAATGAACCTCTTCCCGAATAACTGCTTTCTTAAGTTCTTCAAATTGTATTCCATTCGACAAATTGTATAGAAGATTGAATAGTACAATCTGCCACTTTGTCTTACGTATGTGAACCTTTAATTCCATAGAAATTTGGGCGGTGCCCATTGTACAGAAGTCCGAGGAGTACAATTTGCCACATGTCTGGCGTATGTGGACTATGAGAAAGCCTTTGAATCCGTCGAAATTTGGGCGGTGCTGCAGTCCCTTCAGTGGTGCCAAATTAAATGTCGTATATTGAAGTGCTGAATTGTTTATACGGCAGGGCTACGATAGCTATCCGAGTACAGAACCGGTGTACGAAACCTATCCAACTGCAGAGAGGTGTAAGACAGAGTGACGTAATATTCCCGAAACATTTCACCGCTACATTGGAAGACGTTTTCAATCTACTAGACTGGAAAGTATACGGTATTAATGTCAATGGCGAGTACATCACTCACCTTTGATTTGCTGACGATATAGTCCTTACGGCAGAATCGCTGGAGGATCTAAGCACTATGCTCAATGACTTCAATAGTGTCTCCCAACGGGTCTTAAGATGGACATTGACAATACAAAAATCATGTTTAACGTTCATGTCACACCTATGCCGGTAGTTGTTGGGAGCACTAAGCTCGAAGTTGTTGACGAATATGTTTACCTGGGACAAATAGTCCGACTAGGTAAGTCCAACTTCGACTTAGATCTCAATCGACTTGGGGCTGGGCAGCGTTCGGGAGATTAGGACACATCTTCTTGCCAGACATACCTCAAACCTCAAAAGTAGATAGTACAATCAGTGCGTGTTGCCAGTGATGACCTATGGATCTGAGACGTGGTCCTTCACAGCTAGCTGCATGAGGAAGCTCAAAGCCGCTTAGCGAGCTATGGAGGGGGCTATGCTCGGGGTTTTTCTGCGTGATAGACTTAAAAACGAGGATATACGTAGTAGAACCAGAATACCTACATAGCCGAATTGATTAGTAAGCTGAAGTGGCAATGGGCCAGTCATATTGCTGGAAGAACCGACAACCGATGTGGAAGAAAGTTTCTCGAGTGGCAGCCTCGTATCTGAAGGTGAAGTGTAGGGCGTACCCCACTAGATGGAGTGACGACCTTGTAAGACAAGCAGGAAGTCGATTGATGCAGGTGGCTCGGGACCGTGCTTTGTAGTATTCCTTGGGGGAGGCCTATGTTCAGCAGTGGACCTGTGAAGAGCTGTAATGATGATGAGGAATAAGGGTTCCTAGGAAGAGATCAATGTTTAGCGAATAGGTCACCTCGTATTTGAAGATATTACAGTTTGGTATGAGTGTTTGTGTTATTTCTGTAAAATAAAGAATATGAGAATAATTTAATATAAATAATAAGATCTACGATTTCAAGTTGTGTTTAAAATTGACGAAGATTTTATACAAAATTATATCATATTTACATAAGTATGTTTTACTTTAAAAAATTGCTACGAGTGATTGCAAACACACAATTACATATGCATGAGTTGTAGTTTCATAATAACGTCAATACACCCATTAGGAAATATGATGAGAATAAATATTAATTCGGCTTTTAGCAAGTATAACTTGCTTTTGTCATTAATAATTATTACTATTATTTAAATGACATAATTATTGCAACAGTAGTTAGTACATTATGTTACAATGGAGGTTGTCCAGGTTCCATTTCTATACCATTTATCTTAATACAGAAGTTGATTTATCTTCGTCGGAAATAAAAGCTGGATTTATAGAGCTTACTTTAACCTCTGCAGGAGCTATGCCATTTTCTATGCTCTTTTTTTTATCCGGAATATTTGCACTCTTTTTAGTTCCTGTTGAAACGAAACATTCATCAATTATTACAATGGCGTTTAAAAAAATTATGGAGAGTTTAAAGCAAAATTGTTAATTTTAGTTAAACATATTTACTTAATTGATCCCAAAATTAATGTTACAGTAACGTTATCATTACTGCCCTTCACAAGTCCAATGCTGAAAATAGGCCTCCCCCAAGGATTGCGACAAAGCACGGTCCTGAGCCACCTCCATCCATCGACTTCCTGCATCTCTTACCAGGACGTTACTTCAGTGGGAGGCCACCCTAACTTTGCTTACCGGTAGGCTGCCAATCGAGAACCTTTCTTCCCCATCACTTATTGATTCTTCAAGCTATTTGGCCAGTCGATTGCCACTTCAGCTTACTGATTCGTTGGTCTATGTCAGTTATTCTGGTTCTACTGCGAATTCCATCACTTATAAGTCTGTCACGCAGCGAAAATCTGACAAAAGCTCTCTCCATAACTTGCCGGGCGTCCTTACATGGCCAGCTATGAAGCACTTTCAACACGCACTCAAAACCTGAAAACGAGTTGGTACAAACCAATTTGTTTTCAGGTTTTGAGAAATACGTGTAGAGAAGATGTGTCTCATTTTTCGAACACTGCCCAGCCGAGTTGGATCCGTCCATAAAAATCTGGGTCGAAGACGATAACTTACGTATATGCGACATGACCAGCTGATCTAGCTGATTTATCATGTTGTAGGCACTGGAAGTTTACTGATAACTTAAAATCAAGCCAATAACGCTAATCCCAAATTTCTGACTGGTTCATTGGGACAACCATTGCAAGCTAGTTGAAGTGTTAATAATAAAGCCACCACAACTATTTTTAAGCCCACAGATGGCTTTTCTAAAATATGACATTTTCCCATAGTCACCACATGAGGCCGACGGCTTGTTGAGCACAAAGTCAATACCTTATAAATTAATGCTATCCCCATCGCTATTCTATGACGCTGCGCTTAAGCCGTTCTGGGTGAGTTTTGCGGTCAGTCGCCAAATCTTCTATGTTCAAGGTGCATTGCATAAATGTGAGGTTACCATTTAGGAAAAGGGTGGCAATGAATCTACCTTCAACGCTTTCATAAATAAATGAGCATCTATTTGTTTAAATTCTTTATAGTTACCTTTACTTAGAAGCATCTTGATAAGTATTGAGAATGGTGCATCAATGACTACTGTGACAGCAAAAGCCAGTAAAAATGTAAGGAAGAAGAAAGCAAAGAAGTTAAACATCTGTGAAAATGAAAAAATAACATTAACACTTACATTTTAAGATGTTAGTATTGTAGTGTGGAAAGACAATCCATCACCCGTTTTTATAGAATAAGAGGTGATAAATGAGCACACAGTCCTGATGGTAAGTTGATGCTGCCTATAGCCTTCTAGGTCTATCCCCGATAAATAATGAAAATGCAGATGCGTTGTCACCCCTGAGGACTAAAATGGATTGCCAAGTATCCGGTAAAAGAGGTTTTTAATGTTTGCTGTCATAAGAGGCAATTTTAAGGGAAATACAAAAAATGTGGCTTCTGATAGAAAGCGATATGGTTTATATCAGACGTAAAATAACATATTTTACATCTGACGTAAACCATACCGCTTTATGGCTATTTTACGTCTGAAGTAAATCAAAAAGAAAACAAACAAAAAGTTGTATTTTCAACCTGTGGAAGTTTCAAATATTATTTTATTATTTTATAAATTATATGTTTGTGTTTTCGAAAAAAAAAAACAATGAATTCTCGTCGTGAAAAACCATTAGAAAAATTATAAACATTACCCTGCTTCTAGGGCAGACCTGAGGGGTTTAATAAATGTAAAAATAATAATTAATGTTTTTCGAGTGTATTATGTATGCATGTATGCATGTCTATTTCTTTGGCACGCTTTGTAGCCTAAACAGCTTGATGAATTTTAAAATATGGGGTATCGTTATACGTCTTAGTTGTTGGGATTTCTCCTTTCAGTAGATTTTTACGCAGTCAGTTTTTTAATTCTGTTATAACCATTGGGATTGCCACTTACCTTATTTGCTAACAAAAACATATACTTACTAAAGCAGATAAGGTAAAATAAATCGGTGTAACTGCAGAGTAGTAATAGGCAACCATGACGGAATAATGAATAATATACATGGCGTATGACAGTCGTGCCGGTAGCTTCCACACTTGTAGTGACAGAAACCAGTTAATGGGACCTGAAATTTAGAAAAAATTGTTATTTGTTAACCGAAAGAAATTTTGAATTTATTAAGTTATTATTTTTTATAAATTGGTGATATTGTGCGAAATACATTGCGATAGTGTGCGTATCTTAAGGAGCAATCAATTGCGAGCTTGTCATTGCCATTCATACCCAAATTCAAATTCAAATTCAAATTCAAATCGTTTATTGCGAATATAGGTAGATACAGTTGGTGTTTACATAGTTTATCACTTATAGAACAAACATTTAGTACAGCTATATTCCGCCATTTGGCATGCAATGTCCATCACATTTTATTACTTTTATATTAAATTACTTAAACATACTCTAGTTAAAATTGGAATTAACATGATACAAAATCAAAAATAATAGCGATAAGTCATTTTAGATAATATTGTATAAGTCAAGTCAATTTAGTTATTCTCAGTCATGTAACAGTTAATTATTGAATTTCATATTTGTCTTCGAGATATTCTTTCACACTGTAGTATGCCTTATTAAGAAGAAATTGCTTCAATAGTATTTTAAACCTATCTATATTGGTGCATCTCAAAATGTGTAATGGTAAATGGTTATAAATTCTAGGGGCCATACAAAATACACTGTTGTTAAATTGGGCTGTGTTGTTTGATGGAAAACATATTTTTTGATTATTACGTTTACTGTGTAGGCACTCAAATAAAGAAATATGCGTAGTAACAAAAACGGCTATCTCATATATATAAAGGCACGGAAGTGTTAACAGTTTCAGACTAATAAAAAATGGTTTACAACTATCTGTCTGTTTTAACTTCACAATGGCTCTTACACATCTTTTTTGGGCTCTAAATATCATTTCATTATCTACAGAGTTACCCCAAAAGATGACACCATACCTTAACACCGATTCTACATAACCGTGGTACGCAGTGATGACGGCAGATTGATTCACAATTGTTCCAAGTCTATATAGAGCATAAGAGAACCGATTGAGTTTAGTACAAATATCTTCCACTTGAGATTTCCATTTTAAGTTTGAATCGAGATTGAGGCCTAAAAATTTTGCATTTTCGACTACATTAATTTCTTGTCCGTTGTAGCAAATATTAATATTTATTAAATTATTTTTCACGTTTCTAAATGTCATTAGATTTGTTTTATTTAGATTAATTAATAAATTATTATTTGATAACCATTGAATTATTATGTCTAATGTTTGATTTATATCAGATATCATTTGATTTTTGCTTGTGCTTGTAAACATCACTGTGCTATCGTCTGCAAATAGTACCATATCTTGATTTATATAATTTGGTAAATCGTTTATATAAACAAGGAATAACAATGGACCAAGAATACTTCCCTGGGGTACTCCTTGAGTTACTTCGCGATATGAGGATGAGTAAACTATTTGTCTATACGTTTTTGAGCATATACGGGTAATTTGTGTACATTGTTGTCTATTTATTAAGTATGTTTTTATGAGATTGAGGACATTTCCTCGGACTCCGTATGCTTCTAGTTTACTTAAGAGGATACTGTGATTAACATAGTCAAAAGCTTTAGTTAAATCCATATATAGAGCAGATACTAAGTGCTTATTATTAAGGCTTGTCATTACAGTACGCAGAAATTGAACTTTTGATTGTTAGATTGTTGTCGTTCGTATTTTGAGAAGAAAGAGCATAAATTTATTTTTTGTTTATTTTGTATGACATCTGTAATATGATAAGTAAAATATTTGTTTTCTTAAATCTATATTTTTTTTTGTGATATGTTGTACATACATGACAGTCATTAAAAGGTTTCATGGTTTATTAATATGATGTTTTTCTAGTTTTTATTTATATTATTTATATAGCCTTTGGCGTTACTTTAAGTGGTAGAAATTATTCATTATTTTATAAAGATTTCATAAATCGTGTTAATATTACCATTTTTATTTACAAACAGCGTAGTCGTCGTAAATATTCTGGTACCGCACCTAATCTCGTGGTGTGGATGGCATTGCTGTGTAACCACCTTGTGTTTATTTATTAATTACAGCCTATCAAAAGTCCACTTTTGAACATAGGCTTCCCTAGGTAGATCACCTCATACATACATTTGCTATAATTGCTACCCCACTGCCTCGTTGGTCTAGTGGTTGTAGTAGCATGAGGTCCTAGGTTCGAATACCGGGTCGGGCCAAATAAAATCAGTTATTTGAGTTTTCCGTCAAGAAATTCTCAGTAGCTGCCTGAAGTCAGGAAGCTGGCGGTGTCTTACCCCCGTGCCTCAGAAAGCACGTAAAGCCGTTGGTCCTACGCCTGATGTCTCTCCGGTCATGTTTTATTTACCGTCTCATCGTTATGAGAGTGAGGGAATAGAGAGTGAACCTGTGCTTGCGCATACTCTGGTACACTTTAATCCTGTCCTGCGCAGATGGCTACTCTATCCGTGCAGGCGAATTAGCAACTGCAGCTTTTTATTACATACTGCTGCCCATCTCATGTTTCATTTAACTCTGTCATCTTCGTGACATATACGCGAACATATGATTAGTGGGTTCTTTTACGCCGCTACTTTACGATGGTTTTTGTAAGCCGCCTTTTGCCTATGCCTGATGTAAAGTAACCAGTCTGATTACGGCGAGCAGCGTAAAAGTAGAATTACCAATCCGCCTAACAAGCATTGTCATTATGGTAAACTCTTTCTCTTATGTGGGAGACACTCATGTGTATATAACGTTTATAAATGTTACCTCCAAATCCTTTTACACAAGCAAAAATAATCCAGGCCAAGGCCAAAGCCCATAAAGGTCTCAAATAAGAATTGAAAATATTGTCAGCAAGCTGATTGTCCCAATCAAACTGCATACTTATATTCGTGCAGTATATTATTGCCCCTAATAGTAGGAAAGTCGCACACCAAACTAGCAATAGTAAAACCTGAAAAGAGAGTTATAAGGTTACACTCGATCTCTAAGGAAATTCGATGTAAGCTCCAAAAAGATAATCACTCCATACCGTAGAGATTTTTGGTTTCTTTCCTCTCCAAGAGTGTAAAATATAGCCAATAATCATACCGACGCAAAAAGGTGACGCACGCGTCAATATATTAATATAGTACTTCAGAAAAAAATCTGTCATTTCCTCAGTTCGACTGCAAAAATAACCAATCTTATTATATCCATCCATTCCATTCATTACAGAATATAAAAGTTCACTGCTGAACATAAGTCTCCTCCATAGATTGCCTTATTCGCTTGCATAATTTTGATAAAAATTGTAACATTAATATATGTTTTAAATCAAGCGAATTCATAATAATCAATTATATGTCTATAATATACATCTACTAAATTATAATACATTTCTTATCTACTAGTATAAGGTTTAACGTAAAGGTGTGACTAATGAAAGCAGTAGTTGTATGAGTAAATCTGATAAGCAATTTCAATAGACTATAAAAAGAAGATATTTATTATACATTATTTGAATTGTGACATTCTTGCCCCTACTTTTAACAAGTTCATCCGCAGTGAGGAATTGTAGTAGGGATGGCGAAACTTTTTGTCTTTCAAAAAGTGCTTTGTAAACGCTAGTTATGAAAGAATATTTTTTAGAATAATGTTGACTAAGGACGATGGTCCACTTTTTTACAGTCCACCCGATATTAGTGAATGCTATAATATAATATATAATGACGTCTACATCTATCGTCGATTACCAAATATCGTCACTACCGAGCTAAGATGGAATGCCTCGTTACTATAAAAAGGTTTCCGCCTCTCTATACTCGCTATTCGAAACGCACGCTGATATTCAGTGAGAGAGTGGTTCTACCTCGGCAGAGCAGACCCATTTGTGCTGCTCTTCCTCGTAAATATTTTGAGATTGATTTGAAAAAACCTAAAGGTAAGTTAATGTAAAATCAAACTTAATACTTTTTAGGGTATAAGGTGGTTTCATTTTGTTAAGAAATAGTGTGCGGTATCTTCGCGTTACTTCCTCTTACTAAGTGGTGATATAGTTCGTTTTCTGCGTAGAAGTACGTCTAGGCTCTTAACTCTTACGTATTTCTCGGCTACCTAGCGCCGTTGTACGCACTGTTATGTTCCTTTTTGAAGTATAACTATGGGCTGTGATATATATCGTAAATATATATATATATATATATATATATATTTACCATCAGATAGCTTGTTGGCGCTTGAAGAGGAAAACTATTGAAAACTTGTGATGGTAAAGATCATGAATAATTAAACAATAGTTTTTTACCGATAACAGTCTTTCTGATAATAGTTGAAAAATAATAAAAACCTGCCGTTGCGATTCCGCTTGCCAAGCACCAACTATGGGATATATTACCCTATGACGCAATCTATGGGACAGGCCTATAATCAGCAGTGGTTTTTTGGTAGGTCTGTAATGGTAGCAAATACAACACTTAATAATCATTGAAAATTACTTAGGTGAAATTATTCCAGACGGCATGTTCATGTAGAAAATGTATATGGTAGAAGCTGTAAGCACACTCAACATTGCAAACGTCAGGGCTACCCATGAATGATATTTTCTGGTACTAAGCACCCAAAAAAGTACTATGGGTGACAGAATATGCAACTGAACATCTAAAGATAGATACCACGATACGCCAAGACACTGAAAAAGATTAATTTCAAGAGTTAGTTTTGACCTATTCATGAGTAAATATGATTTCTTAATATATTCTTAATATTAATACACCGTAAGCGTAAGAGATTGTGGCCGATAGATAGCCGTATAATCAACTCTTTTGCGCAGGTGTTATTTACTTAGACCGGGTTGTTCTGTGACAGAGTTCTTCTCTGGTATAGTCGAGTCATCCGTGCTGCAGTAAATCATATAATACATATCATGCTGCACAATACGCCGCAGCTTAGCCCTATTACATATATAAAACTAAAGGCGACGTTTCAGTACTATTTCACTTTTTGAATTTCTGTACGTGGAAGAAAACTCCTAGTGAAACGTACAGTGGTGGACCGCCAACCATCCAGATGGTATGTATTGTATCGGGAATTTTGCCGCGATGTGCATTCGTGAAATTTGGCGGCAGGGATTAATCCAAACAATTCCTCATACTCCCCGTGATAGATATGAAAGAAAATGCGAAGGGATGCAACATCTCTTCGCAGCGCCAGTGAATCTAGCCGGTTGGAAAGGACTCAGTCGTCGACGATTCGAGCCGATCAAGTGGAAGGAGCTGGAGATCCCCAGCCCAGAGATGGGAACAGTATTCCATGTGAGGCTGAACATCTGCCTTGTAAAGTTGCAAGTGGTGTGCCGGCATGAAATACTGTCCCGCTCTGCTGAGCACGCTAAGCTTTTAGAGGCCAATTTGACCTTCTCTTCCAAGTGACCACGAAACTGCACTTCACTCGATATGTTGACGCCGTGGATTCTGATACTGGCTGAGGTAACAAGAGGAGTGCATTGAAATTGAGGAGATACGACAAAGGGGTTCTTTTAAGCGGTAAACGCGAAAACCTACGTCTTCTGAGGATTAAACTGAACTAGATTTAGTCGTCCTCAGTCCGAGTCCGACTCGACTTCAGACACAAGTTTGTTCCGGTACTCGGCGACGTTTTCCCGAGAAATATTTGCACGGCCGATGTATAGAGCATCACCTGTGATGTCATCCGCATAGCAATGAATATTAACGGTTTGCAACATAGCATTGATATGCAGAAGAAACAGCGTTGGTGATAGCATGCAGCTTTGTAGAACACTAGAATTAATAAGCTTGTAATGGGAGCATGTACCGTCTACAATGACCTTGATGCACCGATCTGTAAGAAAGCTGGTGATCTAACTGCACAATTTCTCGGGAAGCCCGTAGGAAGGTAGCTTCGAAAGAAGCGTTTTGTGCCAAACCCGATCGAAGTCCTTCGCAGTATCCAAACTAACGGCAATGCCTCCCCCTTTGACTCTACTGCCTCCGCCCATCTATGAGTCAGGGAGACTGATCGACCCCGACGAAAACCGTATTAGCGGTCACTAATCAGCGGGCGATCCTTAAGGTACCGCACGAACTGGCAGTTTACAATGGATTCCATTATTTTGGAGATTAAGGAGGTGATGCCGATAGTTAGGTGGATCTGAGTGGTCGCCTTTTTTACATAACTTAAACTTATAAAAGCACCTTTTTCGTCGGAGGATAAAAATAGACGCACAACGTTACACATGACTTATAATTTGTGAAGAAGGGCCCATAGTAGTAGGCACGATAAAAAGTCATAATCCGCTAATTAAACCTTTAAGTACCCTGTTCACATTCTACAATAAAACCTTGTAAATGTTAAATCAAATAAAAGTTATACTTTTTATTTTCGTTAGATGTTTAATTGGAAAAAAAAATAACAAACTCGAACAGTTAGAGCAGCAAAGAGACATGTTCGAAGTTATAGGTAATGACTTACCGTACTACAAGACGACCTTAATATATTTTTAAAATTATACACGTTTTTCAAACTATTTATTTTTATATTTTACCTGTACATTTTTATACGATCACTAATAATTTTTAGTGACAAAACTGATAATTTTTAAAAAAATTACCAATTTTTTTCTATTTAAGTTCTGGGTGTCTGTAGAGAAATTTGAAATAAAATCGAAAGCGCAAAAAGTTTGGTACTGTAATCATCAAGCCGCCTACCAAACGTGACGAATATGGGAAATCATCCCTATAACAGGAAGGGCCCACGTGCATCATTGGGCTTTAACGCCCTGTTTAAGTTGACGAAGAAGAATGAATGAATGAAAAATGAAAGAATAGGCTGATGCTTAATACTTACGAGGTCCTGTGGGTTGACAAAATTCTGAATATGTAGAAGAGTCGACCACCAGTACTCCCTGCATCTTACTACATATGAAGCCGCGCCTTCCCATAAGGGACCGTCAGAAACACGATTATATAACGAAGCTTCAAAAAGTACCATTGCAGCTAGCACGGGGAACATTCGCAAAAGGCGATTGAGATAGAATAAATGTATATTCTTTATGAGTTTTTCTGTAAATATATGTATTTTTAATTTGAATATGCAGTAAGTTAAGCTGAAATACAGAACTGCTTACAATGTGGCTTAAGGCTTGTAAAGAAATACATGCAAAATCGCATTAATCAAACAAAAGTCCCATATTGGAATACTGAATGAATGCAGGTGTTAATCATATTATAATCAAAGTAATAAATAATAAACCTGATAAGATTGTAAATTATTTGCGAGTTAGAACATTTAAAAGACTAGTCATATGTAAAATTTTAGAGGAGAATGTTTGGTTTTGTCCGCAGAAATTTAAAATAGGACGTTATAGAATTTACAAGTAGTGAAAGAAAAAGGAATAAAAGAGAATTTTTTATCATTACTTTGTGACCATCTTAGTACTCGTAATATCTTCTATATTATAATGTCGCATGTACAAGAATTTTGAATCTCCTATTTGTCTCCCATCGACTTCCTGCATGTCTTACCAGGTCGTCATTCCATCTCGTGGGGGGTCGCCCTACACTTCGCCTACCGGTACGAGGCTGCCACTCAAGAACCTTTCTTCCCCATCGGTTGTCGGTTCTTCGAGCCATCTGGCCGGCCCATTACCACTTCAGCTTACTAATCCGTTGGGCTATGTCGGTCACTCTGGTTCTACTGCGGATATCCTCATTTTTAGAAATGATGATGGAGTTTCTCTGCGTGATAAACTTAGGTTTATCACGCAGAGAAACTCCGAGCATAGCCCTCTCCATAGCTCGCTGAGCGACCTTGAGCTTCCTCATACGGCCAGCAGTGAAGGACCACGTCTCAGATCAGTAAGTCATCACTGGCAACACGCACTGGTTGTATAATTTCGTTTTAAGGTTTTGAGGAATGTCTGACGAGAAGATGTGTCGTAGTTTCCCGAACGCTGCCCAGCCGTTGCAGGTGGCTCAGGACCGTGCTTTGTGGCATTCCTTGGGGGAGGCCTATGTTCAGCAGTGGACTTATGAAAGGCTGTAATGATAATGATGATGATGATTTGTTTCTTATAACTCATGAGGGTACTTAGCCCTGGAATGCATCTTTAACTGAAAAAATGGACTGTGGTTCTAGTTATGCTGTTAGTTTGCTTAGTTGTAGTTATAATAGGCTAGTTAAAAATTACATACTGACAAATACACAGACTTCTCCCAAATACTCATATTTGCGCCATTTAATTTGTACTACTACTATATGGATATTGTACGGACTTTACAAACCGCACATTTCTGTACATCAGCATATTAACCTTATTGTATCATTTTTCATTCTGATCAATTCTGTACGCAATCATTCGCCGTCGCGCATTGTATACTATATTATACTATCAATAATATCAGAATAAATTACAAAATCAGTTCAAGTCTTTATCGTTTGTATCAACTTCTAAGATTGTGCAGCACAGCAACTCGTACATATTAATGGTCCTTCAAGGATTAATCTAGTGCCGGTAAGATCTAAGCGGGACAACCTGCCCTTGTATTACTGCCTATTCAGCAAATACTACACGTGACTTTTTCAAGCAACTGCGCAGTGAACAAGTTCCTGCTACAGCATTCATTATCACCAACAGCAGTGATTGGTAATCATCACTCCATCAATTACGAAAATCATTTTTTGCCTTTGTGTTTCTGTGTCTGAAGTGCAAAAGAGCCGGCCTCCTACAAGCGAGTCTCGCCGACGATATTGAGAAGGCGCATATATTGCATTAGGTTACCGGAACACTTGGCAACAGCATCATCTATGTGACTTGGAAGCATCCGTCACCGGATTATCAATCAAATCGTCCATTAATAAAAAAATGAATGATTTACTAGTCAGCAACAACTTCTTCAAGCAATGGAGCAGTTATAATATATTATAATTATATATAATATATAATAATATAACTTCAAGAAAGATGGAGCTGAAAAAACCCCATCTAACATATCAAAGCAACTGGATACTGGATCAGTACTATAAAGAATTCCAAGCCAATCATATCAAGTTGTGTGAGTACGAGGACCAAGACTACACTTAGTTTTCGAAAAAGCATTTCGAAAAACAAATTATCCAGCAACACCTGTCTACTGATCAAGAAAAGAAGTCAGTTCTGAGACCTGCTACTCCTTTAGCCGGCGTGACTTCAGATTGGCGTCCACTATCATCAGCGGCCCCATCAGGTCAGGCCAGTACCAGCCGAGCAGATAGAGATAACCACCAGTAAACTTGACGAGATGTACCGGAAACAAAAAATCAATTTTAAAGCACTAGAACGAGCAATCAATACCACAAATCTCGAGTTACTTACCGAAAAGTGGGAGCTCGAGGACAGCTTACGTAACTTATAACTTCGCTGGAATGCCGTGGACACCTTACACTGGGAGATCGACAGCGAGCTTACCACAGAAGAAGTGCAGTATGTAAAAACATACTACATGTTCGAAGATAGCTACAAAAAGATAAAAAAATAAATCAACACCAAGATGTTGTCCATATCTCAGCAAGAGCATTCTAAGCCAGAAATGGAAATACCAACGATCAGTTGTTTAGTTCATGGAAATCACCCACAAGAATAAATTCGTTTCAAAAGTGTAAAAATGCAAATTTAAAATGAACTTTTTAAATGTGCATTGTTGCAAAAAGCAAGGTCAAGGAAGAAGCCGAGAAACTAATACAACACCTAAATATTAGTTCCGAAAACATGCTGCGAAATTCTAAATCATCGGTATAACAACAAACTATTGATTTTCAGTTCTCACATTAACACGCTTTTTGGTTTGCCAGTAATACAAAACCAATCATCATTGGCACGAAAAAATTGCATGACACCACAAAAGAGCGTGAAAGCGCCGTGAAAAACTTGGGCGTGAACACATCGAGTTAGGATCCTTTAGTTGTACATTTGTTGATACAGAAACTGGAAACTGATACACACAATGACTACTTCGAATATCTTGAAGTTCCGAGGGAATTCCCTAAGCTATCAGGTACTTCTGACCTTATTGGAAATGCGATTCACAGCATTAGGATCGTCTCAAGGCAAGCAAGAAGCGCCACACAGCAATCAGCAAGTTACCTATCAAGATTCCAAAAAAGCTCAATATTCCAAGGCAAGCCCGGGTGCATCAATTAAAGCATTTATGAATCATACAAATGCGAAGTCATTGAAATCGTTATCAAGGAATAAATACACATGTTGTGCAATGCACAACATAGAATTTTCCACTGTGAATCGTTTCTAGGTCAGACATCAGAATTAAAACGAAAAACAATGGCAAATTTTAATTTATGCATAAACTTTCTTTTTGATCATAAAGGTGAGGACTATTCTTCCGACAAAAGATGCGTGCATTTTTTTTTTTTTTTTATAGGATAGGGTGACAAACGAGCACACAGTCCACCTGATGGTAAGTGGTTGCTGTGGCCCATAGACATCTACATTTATCCTCTTTTACGAATCAAAATATAGATGCGTTGTCACCCGTAAGGACTAGGATGGAATGCCTCATTTCCAGTAAAAAGGACCTCTGGCCACCTGCACTCACCAAGCGAAACGCAGAGGTAAACCTCTACTTCACGCTGGTATTCTGTGAGGTCGTGGTACCACCCCGGTTCGAGCCGGCCCATCCGTGCGACAGCAAAAGCTGCCGCCTGGCTCTACCACTGTTGAATGCATTTTGCTGCATTTCAAAACCTATCACAATACTTTATTGCACGAAGCTTACGTATCAAATATCATTGCGAGCGAGCGAGACAGCAAAAAAAGGGTTATAGAGCAGAAAAACGTGACACATGTTTCAGAAAAAAACGGCACCGAAATCCTCCTGGCACCAGCCCAAATCAAGGTGCTATCAGCTGATGGAAGCTATCTGACAATGCGAGTGCTTATCGATCAAGAATTACTTGCTTGCCGATTCAGTTTCAATATCAGCCGTCCCATAGACAAATTACTGGGTGCGAACATCTACTCGAATATCATCTTGAGTGGAATCATCGGAGCTGATGAAAGTCAACCGATTGTTCAGCAATCATGACTCGGCTGGATCATCAGGGGCAACCTGAAATCTTACCAGTGTAATGTTATTCTGCATGTTGATCTGATGTACAAGATATTCAGAGGTTTTTCACAATCGAAGACATAGCAGACAACAAAATAACAACACAACAACACGACAAGAATACGGTCGATATGTTGTACGTCTGCCTATGAAACCAGGCTTCGAAGAAAAGCTGGGTGCTTCGAAGTAGAAAGCCGTGGCACAACTATGTCAGCTAGAAAGTAAATTCACCAAAAACGGACACCTCGCAGCAATGTATAAAAACTTTATGCGCAAATACATTGAATTAGAACATATGCAGGAATGTACTCGTAACAGTAACACGATCCCGGAACCGAGTTGCTACCTGCCGCATCATTGTATGCAGCGCACCGAATCACTTACAACTGCATTACGCGTCGTATTTAACGCATCATCAAATACGTCATCAGGCTACAGCCTAAACGACTTGAACAAAATCAAGAGCAAGAAACAAGGCAAACAAGCATTAGTTTTGATAGCAACAAAAACAAAACTAGTTCAAACATCAAAAATCATATCATTGCCGAAATTGGAACTGCGTGCCGCTCACTTATTATCTAGACTCATGCAGACAGTCAAACACAGTCTATCAGTGTAAAACATCAAGACCTTTAGCTGGTTACACTCTGCTCGGTTGGATCCAAGGCGCTCGGCTCGCTGGAAGCCATTCGTCGCCAACCGTGTACAAAATTAAAAAATCATACCTGCGGACTGTTGCCAGTATGTCAAGTCGACCGATAATCCAGCAGACTCCGCCAACCGTGGGGTATCAAAAGCAATCCTCAAAGATCATCCCTTGTGGTGGCAAGGCCCATCATGTCTGAAAACAATATCAAAAAGAAACCACCACAAAAACATACACTACCGATCAAGAAGTGAAGAAGAAATCTACATCTTGCCATTGGCAAGATGTAGACCGACCAGGCCATTTTACCACGTTGGTACCTATTACACCGGTTTCATTGACGTGAAACAAAGGACGAGGCATAAAAACGACGAAAGGATACGTCGCAGATTTTGTGTTCACTAAGGCCGTACACCTTGAAATGGTATCAGACCTCTCTTCATCCACATTCCTAGCAGCACTTCGACTAATGGCAGCACGCCTCGGAGCCCCGCGTCATTTTTACAGCGACAACGGGACCAACTTTGTCGTCGCCAACAAACACAGTAGGAATTCATCAATCTTCAACAAGCCTTGGATGATGATTTCTTCTCAGCAATATCAGACATGGAGATCTAATGGAACTTCAACGCCCCCTCGTGGCCTAGTCCACGAGGTCTATGGGAAGTGGTGTTGAAGAGCCTAAAATTCCACTTACGGAGACTCATCGGTGCACAAATTCTTATATTTGAGAAGCTATCAATATTGTTGTCACAACTGGAAGCATGCCTGAACTCAAGGCTATTATGTGCTCTGAGCAAAGATCCCGAGGACATCAACTTCCTCACTCCATCACATTTTCTAGCGAGTGGCCAAACCCTCACCATCATCTAAACCGAAAGGGACGAGCACACACGTTGGCAACTTGTACAGAAAATCTTCTACGACATCTGGAAGAGATGGCAGTCTGAGTACCTGTGCCAGTTATCAGCTAAAAGCAACGGAAACAAAGAAACATGAAAATTGGTGACGTTGTCATCATTCATGACGTCAAATTACCTCCCGGCAAGTGGGCGCTCAATAGAGGTTGTTGAACTTCACCACGGAAAAGACGATCTGATCCGAGTGATGTGCCTGAAAACTAAAAACAACATTATCAAGAGGCCCATTACAAAAATATCACCACTTCTATTAGATAATAGCGCTGATAGCGAGCAAAATTCAGAATCAAGCAATAAGCAATCTACAGCAGAAAGCACCAAAGCAAAAAGAACGCGAAGCAATAAATCATGCAACTTCATAGCATTAGAAATGTTGACTTTACTTACCATCATTTCACCCGTTCAGTGTGTAGGTTGAACCTACTGAGTATAAGCAATAATCAGAGCATTTATATGGACAAAATTTCCAACATCCACCTTGTCAGAGATCAATGGAAACTCACTGTTTACTACGAAATGAATCCGTACTGGCAAGACATTGATTTGTTCCGCAAGTACTTCTATCATTTGGATAATGTATGCTCCAAAATATCAAAACAAACAAAATGTGACGTAATATTGTTGCAACTACGTCATGAGGCCACTGAACTGGACATCTCATATGTTGCTCGGTCACCAATACACGCGCCCGAGACGACAGACGACGAGTTTGCTCAAAAGTACGTGAAAGACATCAATCTAATCAGTATGGATCAGAAACATCTCACTTTTCTTTGCAAAAATCAAACATTAGTAGTTGAAGCTGTATTTAGCTTCAAAAAGCAGTAACCCTTTTAGTCAAATTGAGAAGTTTATGAAAAAGCAGAACAAGATATTCAATGACCATATCATATAGCTAGAAAAAAAGCCAACATAATAGCAAAAGAAATTCAGATCGAAGAAATCACCAATGAATTAATCCTCTCATCCATGATAGCAAACAACATTTTGGCCAATCTAAAAACATTCAGGAAACGTTGGTGGAGAACATCACAGACATCCACTATGGGCAGTTTAATTTTTATTCATTAAAACCTGAACAACTGAGCGACGAGTTAAATATTATTTCTTGCCAATTATCAAAGGAATTAGATCTGCCTACAGACAACATCCAAAACAACTAAAATCTATCATTTATTGGAAGTAAAAGCAAGGATGACAAGCCAATACTTTATTTTCGAGATCAAAATCCCGTTGGCAAGGAGGAATACCTACGAGATTTACATGCTTATCTCTATCCCTCAGCGAGTACAAAAATAGGTGGTCCGCATCACACCTATCGCAGATCATATTGCAATCAACATCCAGAAGGACTCGCACGTACCATTATCAGAAGAAGAATTTCGAAGATGTACACAGTTCGAAGCTGAGACTCACCTTTGCCTGCTACAGAAACCTATTTTCCATATGAATTAGGACGATATTCTCTGCATCAAAAATGAAAACACAGATCAGTGTGAAATCAAAACTTCGCCTTGCAAAGATATATGGTATGATAATAAACTAAATACGTACCTGTACTTTTGCTGTAATCAAAGGACGATAAGAATAATATGCGAGCATCATGTTACAGCGCAATAACTTAACAAGCTGGTATTATTATTCTCGAGGACGTCTGTTTCATTAAAAGCGAAATATTGACAATATTTTCACACAGAAAGCAGGTCACTAATTATTCATATTTTATTAATTATTTTTTTATCACTAATTATCAAGCCCGAACTTGCAAAGATAGACATACCCCCAATCAATGATGTCCTCAACCTATCAATTCCTCTCCAAAGACTCAAGAAATTCGACGAGTCAGAAAATGAGGAGAAAGGAGAATTTTGTAGTATCATCATCATTATCAATTTATATCATTTTGTAATCACCTATACTTCTAAGATTGTACAGCACAGCAACTCGTACAAATATTAAATAACAAATTTAATAACTAAGTGAAAATTAAAGAAATAATTATAGTTTACCCCCTGTTAATTTTCCTGCAGTAGAATAGACTAGCAACAATCCACTCAGCAAAAAAAATGTATCGACGGTCATAGGAGCTGACGTCACCCAAATGGCATTAGGTGAAATTGACCACTGAAAAGTAATAAAAATACATTTTTTTTTCGTAGAATTATTTCATTGCGTTATTAAATTGCATCACATATTACACATGTTAGAGCAACGCGGCAGCTATTGTAGCACGAATGGGTTGGCTCAACCGGGGTAGGACTACGCTCTCACAGAATACCAGCGTAGAATGGCGGCTTGATGCTACTGCGTTTCGTGTCGTTAGTATAGAGAACAGATGATCCTTTTTACTGAAAGCGTGGCATTCCATTTCAGTCCTCAGGGGTGACAATGCATCTACATTTTTATTCTCACTTGAGGATAAATGTAGATGTCTATAAGTTGTGGCTCATAGACATCTACATTTATCCTCAAGTGAGCATCCAATTACCATCAGGTGGACTGTGTGCTAGTTTGTCACCCTTATTCTATGAAAAAATGAAATGAAAACTGCATGCAGTATGCTATATGACAATAGTTATATACTAGCTGCTCCCCGCGGCTTCGCCAGCGTGGATTATATTACGATTTATTACGATATATTTTAATAATTTTAGTCGAAAATAATTTTATAGTTCATAGCCCGCGCGACAGGTAGTCTTTGTAATAATATCTTTCGGTGTGGCCATGGCGGCGGCATTCGCGTGGGGCGCGTGCGATACTGGGCATTATTATATCTTATTATTATTATACTTAGCGTTTACATTCGATTATGTTGAATGTATGTATATTATATATTAATATTATTATACCTACCTTTAATAATTATCTTTGAATTGGATTTTGTTCACAATTCCAAGGGCATTAATTTTTTTTCACGGAACCCTAATTCGTTTTCTAAAATAAAAGTAGCATAAGTTACTCCTTATAACATCAGCAATCTACCAGTGAAAGTCCCGTCAAAATCGGTTCAGCCGTTTCGGAGATTAGCCGGAACAAACAGACAGACAGACAGACAGACAGACAAACATTTTAAAAATGACTATTGTTATAAGTGCCGTATATACTTCCCTATGTATTAAGTAAAAAGCTGTTATTTTGATATTACAAACAGACACTCCAATTTTATTTATTTGTATGTATGTATGTATAGACTAACAGTTGGAAAAGTTTATAAAAAATATTATGTTTTACTTACTAGTAAAGCATCAACAGGGTTTAAATTATTTGGTAATGAGTAAAAGGTATGACCCAGAATGACCCATACCATTGCCAACGCCCTGATACCGTCAATACATTCTAAGGAGTCAGGTCCAGAAGTAAATGTCAGTAGACGTTGCGTGTTAGAATACACAGAGCAACAGAAGTATAGGGAATTCTTGTTTCGCTTATCTAAAAGTTTGAACAATCTTAATATTCAAAGAGGAAGAAATAAATCAAAAGAAAAACTTCGAAGTATTAATGAATCTTCAATTATTTTAATTTGTAATTTAATTTGAAACTTTTGACGAGAGTAATTAATCAAGTGATAGTAATAGCTTTACGAGCTTTACAAGTTTCATGATTATTTATTAAATGTTACATACCGCTTTTGAGAATCCATGTATAATATATATCGTAAGATGTACTTAGAAAAGTTAAAATTCCAATTATAGAGAAAATTGCGCTAGAAAAAAAAGGTAATTCATTAATATGTTTATCTTAATATTTCTGAGAAAAAAAAAAACAACAATATTTCCTTACATGGCGACGTAATCAACAGGTGCCCACAGTTTATCGTTGGGAAGACGACAAAAGTTTTCGGTGTACTCCAAGCCAATAGCACTGATATTGAATAAAAGAGCATTAATGCCCTCTTGTGTAGTGCATGCTGCTGGTATGCATACAGCTAATGAGTATTTCGTGTTAGATATTTGACTGTCTGACCCCATTCTACAAAAAAGAAAATAAATAGAAATTTACTATCCAAAAATAACAAGTTCTCTTCATTATTGGACACGTTAGTACAGTTCATTGCTGGACACGGATGTCTCCATTTGTAACCAAGTAGTCTAATTATCCTTTTTTATAATAATTGTTACAAAATTACTGGCATGGTATTCAAAAGTATTTACATTAATTTATGGTAACTTAGACATAATATGGTCATATTTTAATGAACTCTTGGTTTTAATAAATTGTTCCATACAAAGATCTACAATATGAATAAGAAGTATGAAGACCTATACCATTATTACTTTTTTTATAGAAGAGGGGGCAAACGAGCACATGCGGTAAGTGATGGTAAGTGACTTCCACCGCCCATGAAAAACCGTAGCACTAGGGGGATTGCAGGTACGCTGTGGCCTTTTGGAAAGGAGTGGGCTCATTTTATGAAGGTCCCTAAGTCGTATCGTTCCGGAAAAATCGCCGTTGGTAAAGCATTCCACAAAGAGATTGCACAAGGAAGAAAACTCCATTGGTAGTATTGGACCGCCAAGCACCCAGATGGTGTGAATGTTATAGTGACGTTTGTCGCAATGTACTTTCTGCTGGAATAAATTCGAACAATCTCTCAGACCACTCCATGTTGTAGATGTGATAGAAAATGCAAAGGGATGCAACAGCATTGCTGAGCACAAGCTTCCCTGATCTCTGAAAGGATATTTTAGGCAAGGAAGAGTCCACATTGTATGTTGGTGACTTCATATTATGTTCTTAAAATTATTTTTATTACGGTGTTTTCCTTTTATACCGAGGCGAACCATTTAACTATTTTTTATGGCGTGAAATGAACACGGGTTTCTCGCATGCTATGAACTTATGGAAAGCGTTTATTTACTATGGGAATATAATACCGAAAAATGTCTTCTGTTATACAGCGGTATAATCTTTTCGCTTACGCTGGGCATAAAATACTCAAAACGGCGACGGGCAGCAGCGTCAAACGTCCAATATCTTTGGTACTACGATTGTCAACACGCTTGTCATGCGTGACGAGTAATGAAAATTCTCCATAGTAGAGTCTTAGGGGATGAAGAAGTTACTTTGCGGAAATCCATTATATAAAAGCTTTTAGAAAAATTTACTTCGCAAATATCCGCGTTATAAAATAAAATGATGTGTCTTACCTAGTACGAAGAGCACCTCCCGCCCTTCCTCAATTGCGTGCACTATCCCCGTCACTGCTGGGATTAGTGGTGACGGGGGGCTTTTTTAATAAATTTATGACAAAGCAAAAAATAATAAATAATCCCAATTATCGTGTTTACCTTTGAGAATTGATATTGCGCCCGAAAATGGAATTTTGGAAAACGTTCATGTCCTTCTGTTTTTTCAAATAATTTAGAATAGTTTCTGATAAACGTAAGCTTTGGTCTCTTTCTGGCAATTGTGATGTCGATAAAAATTGGGTTAGCTGATCTTGATTTAATGTCATTTGTATCATGCAATATTTGCCCTGAATATTCATATCGGTAACGTTTTCCTTAATTCCTAAGCACTGGTAATAGTTACCCAATTCAATAGTATTGCCCAATGTGATACCCTTTGGTATTCGTAAGCCAGCGTCAAGAACTGTAAAAGATATTAATATACTAGACAGATGGATCTCAAATATTTTACAAAGTAGCGAGATAAAAGAACTTCAATAAAATAATAAAAAAGAACATATATTTGTATATAAATAAATATACATTATATAATATTTTTGATCACAACAGTGATGAATATCACCGTTAATTCAAATTTTACTTCATATAATATGTTAGTCAATTCGATGACACTTCCAATTTTTGATTACTGACACATATTTTCAACTAAATAAGGCGAAATCATCATCATCATGCATCCATGCACAAGTTAACATATATCCTATTTTTATATTCATATAGTTTCAGAGGATGCTTATTCATTACTGGTTCCAAGCCCATAGAGGATAAACTTTAGAAACATTTTTGTGGTTATCGAGTCTATTTGTGTTATGATAGTTCCCTTTGCCTCCGACACTGCAAGATACAGCCATAATGTAAATGCACTTTGGTTTTATCACGTAAAAAGTGACACCATAATATATTCTGCTGAGTTAATCTTCTCTTACCAGACAAAATCGATTGCAAATATTTTGGATCTTCTTTACTAGCAAATTATTGTCCACTAGACTTTCAACTTCCGATTTCAGAAGGGTTTCATAATCGCTACTCTTGGCAGGCGATTAAAGTGCCAAATAACTAGCCTGCACATGTGGAACTCTGCTTATTTTCGAACAAATCAATTGTTACCAAATCCTCATACTAGTGATTAAGGTCTGCGCTATCCAACTCTCGTCTACAGAGTGTGGGTAATGATTTTAAGAAATGCATGCTAGCTGGTGCATTCCTGGAAAAGCTCAAATTCTAGCAGTCGTTTTAAAAAGATAAAGAAAAGAAAAATTCCAGAGACTATTGTGAAATTCCATAATATGTCCGCAGTCCCCTTCACTAGTCTAATGATGAAAATGGATATTGATGACTGGATTTGCCATTATCGTATACATGGAAAGCAGATTGGTGATCATAGTATTAGAGCATCGTTAAAAGTAATGTAACACACTTTATACGGACCACTGCTGGGCACAGGCCTCCTCTCATTTCTGAGAGGGTTTTATGGCAAGGAAGTGTCTGCCGCGCTGTCCCAATACGTGTTGGAGAACTTTACGTATCTTCGAAATATATTTTTTCTTATATCTCAGACCTGCAGGTTTCCCTACGAAGTTTTTCCTTACTGCCGCGCACGTGGTTATATTAATAGCCTTGTTCAGCATATTATATGTATAACATAACAACTATAGGGATTAGTAATAGTGAAATGTTAGTGATTTCTCTATGTAAGTCGAATTTTTCGACAAACACTGGTAGGAGACACACATAAACAGGAGGTTTTGTCATAATGCCAATGAAGTAAAATTCTTTTCAATATTTACAAATTAAATGTTAGATACCTTTCATAGAAAAGACGTATCACATACTAATAGTAATTTTGTGTTGATGTGAAAGCTTTTTTGAATCGTTGTGATTTGAAACTCGACATTATACAGTGTTTATTATAAATTAGTTTATATTTCAATCACATAAACCCTACAATTATACTACTCCTGATACTCTGCATTCATCTCATTCTCTAAGTTTTGTTCTCGGAAGGTTTCACTTTTACCGCGTGAACTGCACAGTTGTTTTTTTTCTAAAAACCTAAATAAAAACTTACATTTCGCCAGTAAGAGTGTATCATTTCTTCTTATATACTCTGTTTGTCTTCGACAATATTCTGGATTTAGCACTTCCTCATACAGTTTTTCGTCAAATGGTGGAAACTGAACATTCTCATTAGGTTTTCTTTGTTTTGAATCACACACAACTACTATTCCACTAATTACGAGAAAAGTTAAATGCAGTTTTCTATTCATATTATTTATTTTAATGTTTACGTTCTTCAAATTGCAATAGTTTAATATCTAATGACTCGCGAGGAAGGGAAAGATATTTTATTGAATGGTCATGTTCATAATCTTATCACTGGCACTTTGCGTGCGTAAAAGGTACAACTTAATTTCAATGATTCCGTAGAAATTAGTAGGATTATTAAAATATAATATAATTTACTGATTGCTGGTTAATTACATAAACAAAAAAATGGTTGACTAAAACCTTAGTAATACATGGTAGTTTGTGTTACTTATTTGGACTAAAATTCGTCTTAGAACTATCATAGGAGTAATATATTATACAGTAACCTACTTTCAAAACTGACTTTATTATCATTTTAACATTTTAACCTACTTACCTATCTTAAATTATCGTATTAAATGAATGTTTTATATATATTACATATGTTTGTGTGTAATTATGCAGCAAAGTGTAACATTGAAACAGAATATAAAAGACCTTATTACTATTCTAAACAAAAATACAAAAAAGTATCTCAAGTTGTACCTTGATGAGTAATTAATTAGTGCGACTAGCATATGCATTTTAAATTAAAAAAAAAATGCCTAAGTTATTTATTAAGTGCAAGATTGGAGATAATTTTCTATTTTGATAATGTTAAACAATCTTGGGGGTAAAAAATGTATGAAAATCTAAGTGACCAATTACCTTAAAGGAATATGCGTTTAATGTAGATTTTAAGATGGTATAATTCACTATTGTATATGTAAGTAGCGAAATAATGCTTTTAATGTGCAAAAGGACTCAATTTTACTAAGTAACAAAATGTGTCTATTATAGCATTTTTAAACTTTAAATTGTATATGACTACTGGTTTTTACCAAAAAATCAAATTATTATGATTATTTGTTGAGTGTTAAATCTATATAAAATGTTTTTTTTAAATAACTTCACAAAATGTTACATTTTTAATTAATGTTTAAAAATATAGTTAATATGAGTGTAAAAAAAGGTTGTGTTCCCTGATATTTGCTATCCTGATATGGCATACGCCGTGCCAGCCATCTTTTGTTTTTGTCAGGCAAAGTGGGTTGGTTACGTGTGAGCGAGAGAGAGTAAATGTAAAAAACAATGGTTTGGCCTTAGTGCCTTACTCGACTTGCTCGGCTTCTCTTTGTAATTTTTGTGATTTTATCAAAGGTAAAACGACGATCTGGCTTGTTACCAGACTACATTTTGTTTACTTGATTGATATTGGATTTGTTTTCTTTGTTGATTTTTGTAACACTTTGGCTATTTTCTGGGCTAAATTAGAGTTTCTCTGTTAAAATGCCTCGTATAACAGTATATGCTACAAGTTATGCAATCATACATTATAGGAATGCAGAGGCAATGCAAATGCAGCCGAAACTCTTTATAGGGAATGAGAGAAATGATACGAGTCCACAGATGTCCACGAGTGCAATCTCTCCAACCAAGAGACTATTATCCAAGAGTATATATTTACCGACAAATGCTAGCGAATATTGGGTAAGATCCGCAATTTTAATAAGATTTGATGGAGCAATAAATCGACGCTCGAAAGAGATGGCTATTTGAATTATTTGCACAATCTGCATAAGTGGCAATTAGGAAATCCCCATCTTATGCGTGAAGACCAATCACAGTAGGGTGGTTCCGGGAGAGTTGTCCGTACGGAAGAGATGGCCACAAATAAAATATTACAATTACACATACCAAAAGGAACTAATTTCTCGTAAGTTTACATTGTACTGTGCGTGGGAACGATATTTCGCTCCAACTCCGGCGAAAAAAAAAACAAAAATAAGTAAAATGTACCTACATTTATTTGTATAGAGCTTTAAGTTTTCAAGGGGTTTACGTTACACAGTTTGGTGAAAAGATATCATAAAAAATATTTTTTTTTTAGTTAAGAGCTTAGGTTATACTCCAGTTCCAGTTTATGACTCAAACTCTAACACCTCAAAATGGTGCATGAGTTGTTTATATTTTTTTTACAAATAATGTGTGGCCATCTATAGAGAGATGTCCTTACATCGTCTGTATGAAGATGGCAATAAGGCTATCTTACACTGACTATATGTTTAATGTATAATGGTGAAAGTTATATTATTATAACTTGCAATATTTTGCTTTATTTATAGTGATTTTATACTTATTATATTTTAATATGTCAAATAAATACTAAAGAAAAGCATGCAGCTCACGAAGGAACTGTAGTAAAGAGTCACTTATGGCAACTATGGACGATGTTAGAAAAGGTGACCGACTATCTAGGCAGCTTCTAAAACCTATATAGTACCAAGGAAGACCTTAGAAAGGCGATACAAAAAAAATAATTACGAAGAAAATGAGAAGAAATTAGCTAATCTCATTAAAACTGTGCAAAAGAAATGGTTTCTCATTGACTATTGATGACGTTGGAAAGATTGCGCACCAGTTTGCGGAGCAGTTAAATTTAAATCACAGATTTAATAGAAAAACTGAAAAAGTAGGCTATGACTGGTTGCAAGGTTTTTTTTTTTACGAAATCCTGATATTACATTAAGAAAGTCAGAAGGAGTATCTTTAACTATATCTACTGCTATGAACAAACTGGAGGTCGATACTTAATTTGAGCTTCTTGAAAGCATTTTGACAGTTGACGATGATGTGCTGGAACCGAATTGTATCTTCAACATAGACGAGATTGGTCTGCAGCTTAATAATCGACCAAAACATATTCTAGCTGTAAAGGGTTCTAAGGCTGTATCTACAGTTACTTCGACTGAAAAGGGTAAAACGATTACAATTAAAACCTGCTGTAATGTTGAAGGTAAATTTTACCACCTGCCTGTATCACGGAAAGGCAAAAATAGAATACCTGAGTTTGAGAATGAGATGCCACCGGGATTGAAACTTCTCATGTCCCCAAAATCAGCGTGCATTACCTCAGATTAATTTGTTGAATAGTAGAAAACACATTTGTTCCGAGAAAACCAGATGGAAAAGTTCTTCCTTTACTGAATGGTCATTCATCTCACAGTAATTCTGTGGAAATGCTAAAATATGCAAAGGATAATGACATCACATTACTTTCAATGCCAAGCCACACATTTGACTATCTTCAACCACTACATCGCATGGTGTTCAAATCAATGAAGACTCATTTCTACGAGCAGTGTTGACTGAAATAAAATCCTGGTCGTCGCATAACATGATTATCATTTGGAAGATTGCTTAATATGGCAAGGGGAAAGGCAACTTCTGCAGAGTAGTAGAGGTTGTACCGATGCGGGTTTTAAAACCCTCAATCCATCTGCAATTCCAGACTACGCATTTATTCAAGAATTAACAGAGCAATCATCTAAATAACAAAATGAGTGAACAGCCATTGGTCGAGGAGCAAGAATAAAATACAAGTGACATCATCATCATCATCATTACAACCCTTTACAAGTCCACTACTGAATATAGACCTCCCCCAAGGAATGCTACAATGTACGGTCCTGAGCCACATGCATCGATCGACTTCCTGCATGTCATACCAGGTTGTCACTCCATCTAGTGGAGGAACGCCCTAAAATTCATCCACCGGTACGAGGCCGCCACTCAAGAACCTTTTCCCCATCGGTTGTCGGTTTTTCGAGCTATATGGCCGGCCCATTGCCACTTCAGCTTACTATTCCATTGAGCTATGTCTGTCACTCTGGCTCTACTACGGTTATACTCATTTCTAAGTTTATCACGCAGAAAATCGGTCTGTATTTATTCAAGAGAGCGTTGTCGCCTTTCTTAAAGAAAAAACCACAGCACTTCTGCTCCATGCCTCCGGTGTAATGCTACCATGGAGGACGGAATTAAAGAGCTTCTGAAGGACTACAAATACCGGTTTTCCACCCGCTTTCAGTAGCAGCTCCGCTATAATTACATACTCGCCTGGGGCAGTTTTTAAGGTGCTGGAGAGCCATTCTTATCTCGCTCAGATTGACGTCGAGATTATCATTGGAATAGTATCGGATAGGACTTGCTCTTGGATCGTTACTCATACTTGCGTGTGGCTCCAACGATGACGTGTACAGTTGCCCATAGAACCTCTCAATCTCACTCAAAATCTCCGGTATCCCGAATACAGCGTTGCCACATTCGGCTTTTAGCTTAGACAATTGGCTCTTTCTGGCAGACAGATCTGTGGCAAAGACTTTTGGAGCCATAGTTCCGCTCGATCGCTTTTTCCATACGAGCAGTATGATAGTCACGTAAGTCACGCCGCATACATTTTGGAGATCTGTCTGTTCAGTTACCTGTATGCTATTAAATCTACTGAAGACTAATAGCCATGAGATTAAGAGCGTGATCGGAGAGTTTTTGTGTTCTTCTGCGGCGGGTCTTGCAAAACTTAGCTGCAACCGCATGGACAGTTCTACGAGCTTGTCGTTCATATCGTCCACTGCGTTATCTTCTAGGTACTGAAGACGGTTTTGTAACTCAAACTGAAAGGTTTCGGGACTTTGGATTAGAGCACGATGGAAACGGAGCATTGACTTCATTAAAACACATCTCTTTAACTAAATTTTCTGGTTCAGTGTGCCCCTGACTATTTGGTGATCGCAACCCAATTTTGAACCTCGTGATCACTGAGACATCACTGAACATTTGCCGTCTAGACGTCATAATGAAGTCATTCTCATTTTTTGTCGAACCCTCGGGGCTCGACGAGGTCCACTTCCTGTGGGGCCGCTTCTGGAACAGAGAGTTCATCAGAAAGAGTCTCTTTGCCTTTCTTTATGAAGTCGGTCCCCTGGATTCCGTTGCTCTATTCCGAATTTCCCTTCTTTCAGCTCACCGTTCTCTCTTGTGCCTAGTTTTGCGTTGAGGTCTCCCATTAACATAGTATAGTGGGTTTCGGAGGAATGCATATCCTCAAATATTTCCACCCCGTCATTGAGGTGTGCCGAGGTTGGTGCGTAAACCTGTATGACCTTCAGCGAATACCGTTTGGTGATTCTGAATATAAGCA